ATTAGCTTGTAGTTTTCTTACAATGTCTTGGTTTTGTCTGATTTTGGTATTAGGGTAATACTGGCCTTATAAAATGAGCTGAAGAATATTCCCTCCTCTTCTATTTTTTGGAAGAGTTTGTGACAAATTTGTATTAATTCTTCTTTAAATGTTTGGTACAATTCACCAGTCAAGCCATCTGGTGCTGAACTTTCCTCTGTGTAAATGCTATGTGAGCACTGAAGGTAGGCTAAGCTAAGCTATGATGTTCAATTGGTTAGGTGTATCAAATTCATTTTCAACTTATGATATTTTCAACTTACAATAGGCTTATTGGGACATAAACCCATCATAAGTCAAGGAGCATCTATTGTAGAGTTCCAACTATTCACTGTTTATTAATGCAATGAAATATTATTTTATTATGGGGTAAAAAAGCTTTTCTAGATATTTAAGGATTTATTACATTTTATTTTGTACTTCGCAATTTATTTGTTCATCAATCTTAGCATTCAAAAAAATTTAATAGACCCTGAAGAATCCATAAGCCTAGGCACAGTGTCTAGAGAGCCTAATATAAAAAAATCACTCAGATGGAGTTAATTCCCTTTTGGGGTGGATGAAGTCTACTCCAGCATGTCTAGTTGTTTCCACTGGAAACATTCCCATCTAAGCAACAAATACCCTAATTAGATCCTTCCTACAGCACCAATAGCTGAAAATCCTAGCCACTTCAGCCATGACTCTCCAATGTAGAATAATGAGTCTTGGCCTTAATTTCTCAGTTTGATTTTCTTCTGGTTGCATATTACCCATGCTGGTATCATCCTAAAAGTAGTGACCTGGGTTACAAGTCAAAATCCTACAGCTTTTGTCATCAAAACAGCCACCAATCTAATTTCCAATTATATAAAGAATGTCTCAAAGGATACTCCCTTCTGACTCACATTTTCACTGGGCATGGCCAAACATATGAACCTATTTTAGAACAACAATGGTGTTAAGATCAAAATCACAACTTCTAATATAAGATGGCAAGGTGAGAGCATGAACCGGACTGGAAATGTGAAACCTGCATGCGGGATGACTGACACCAACCAGCTGGATGACTAAGGTTTTCCGCTGACCGGCAACCCCGTGCGAGCCACGTGTGCCCTGTCTATCAGAATCCCAGAGCCACCTGAGGTGCATCAGCAGGAAGTCCAGTGTGCTCAGGCAGCACCTCTGCACACGAATAACAGTACAGCAAAAGCAGCAGAGAAGGTTCAAGAACAAAAAGAATAAGGTGGAGAAAATCAAACAACTCTTTTCTGATTCTGAAATTCTGTAATTGAACCAATGCGACTTTGTAGACCAGAATAAGGGGGAGAGGATAGTCCTACTTGTATCCTGCATGGGTTAAAAACACATCTGTTTACATGTGAGCTACATATTTTATGAGGGTCACTGACAAACTAACAAATCCAAAAATGTGTGAACCATATCACATAAAGAAATTGAAGGTCTTAATGTATACTTGAACAATGGGGCTTAGGAGGGAAGAGTTATCCACAGATACTTCAGAGCTGTCCTTAAAAGTATAAAGTTGCTTGGTATTACTGAATACTCAAAGGCCAGTACAAGGCACAAAAAAATCATTCATATATTCAGCAAACATTTATTCTGCACTTCCATGGAGGGAGACTCTGTTTTAGGTAACTGGGCCACATGGATAAGTAATGAGAGGTCTGGGAGCAGAGATAAGCACACAAATAATCAGCTAGCCACAATACAAGGAAGAGTGTGAGAGGTGCCATGTGAATAGAACAAAACCTACTTGGGAAATCAGAAGTGGGGCTCATTATATCCCTCTGGCAGGATAAAAGAAAGCCCCTGAAAAAGGAAGCATTGAATTGGGCTTATAAGGTGTGGGAAGAAATATATTAAAGGGTCATTCTAGGTGGAGGGAAAGCAGAAGAATATGTTTAGAGGTGGGAACAGATAGAGTGGAAATTATAGGGGAACAAAGCTGAAGGACACAATAGTCCAAGTTGAACGGCCATAAGTATAGAGATACCAAGTACTGGAAAGGCTAAAGGGTGCCAAATAGTGAGGAGCTTGTACTCCAGACTACAGAGAATGACTATGTAAGGGCATCATGAAAGTTTTTGTAATACACAAGTACTGCGTCGCTGTGAGTTTTCATTGTTGTTGTTATTGTTTTGTTTTTATTCCTGGTATAGGTTAGAAGCAAATACAGGAGAGGCAGAGGACTTGCACAATGGTTAGTCAGGAAGAATGACGTCCTGATCAGCTCAGATGCAGGTAGCAGTGGGAATGGGTGTGGGGAAAGAGACCCGTGAGATAGTTCAGAAGCTGAATGAAGAGGATGCAGAGCTGAATCAGCAAATCTCTGGGACGGTGGAAAGAGCAGAAACCCCAGCTGGAGGAGAAATTGGCTGAGGGACGGGGTGGCCACTGAATATGGAAGTACATTTTTTAAATATATAAAAAGCCCTGGCTGGTGTAGCTCAGGGGATTGAGCTCAGGCCTGCAAACCAAGGAATCTCAGTTTGATTCCCAGTCAGGGCACATGCCTGGGTTGCAGGCCAGTTCCTAGCAGGGGACCCATGAGAGGCAACCCTACATTGATATTTCTCTCCCTCTCTCCTTCCCTTCCCCTCCAAAAATAAATAAAATCTTAAAAAAAAAATTTAAATACACACACATATATATATGTGTGTATATATATATATATATATATATATATCTGAGATATAACATCCAAGTGGTTTATTTTTCAAAAGTCTAAAAATGTGGTAAGACATGAGATAAAACTTGATTGCCTGTTTCTCCTGGGACCTATTTTATTCCTTAAACCTTTTGGAAAGTTATTATTGGGTCTTACCAGAATAATGTAGTACTTTAGAGTAAAAATGGAGCCTAATAGTTCAGTATGTGAAGCCAACATAGAGATCTCAACAGCTGCCATGACCTTGCCCTTTGTGCTGTGGTAAGACAGAGAGGAAGGTGACCCAGACACGGCAGAACACCACAGCTATATGGTGCTTCCATATTGTTACCCTAGTGAATGACTAGGATAGGACCAGGAGAATGTTCCACAGCCTTGCTCCAAGCACTTTTCAACCCTTTCTCAACTCATGACCACACACCTCAGAAGCAGCTCTCCAAGGAAACTCCTAAAAAGAACAGTCAAATGCAGAGCTAATACACCCTGGCAGAAGTTCTACGGGCCACTCATTGCAACTCCCCATGAAGGCAGGGGCTGTCGCAGCATTAGAGACCCCCTCAATGAGATCCCCAAACAGAGCATCTGAAGAGCTGCCTTCTGGTCCCAAGCCTATCCCTTGTTACCCCTGAAACCATAGGTGGGATATAATAATGTATACACCACCTTTGGGGTATATGCCCCACCTATTCCATAGGCTTGTGAGGTCACACAGGAGACAGAATTCTGCAAAGAGCACAGATGCCCTGGATCAGCAGTAGTTCTTCAGAGGCAGAAACTACGCTAAGGCATGTTTGTATCCTACGTGGAGCTGACTATGAAAGGAGGGAGGGAGCAAGGTGGGCAAAAAATCCCCCAGCCCGACCCCCACAGGCAGCCTAGTGTTAGCCAAGAGTATTGCCTATCAGACCTTCAGGAAGATCTACATCCAGAAAAACAGGACCTTAATACTCACCCGGGTCTCCCTCCCGGTCCACTGACCTGCCCAAGACCTTTAGTGGCCCAGGGCCCAGGGAGATGATCAACAACACATCACAGTGTAAACAGTGTTTCTACCCACCTTATCTTACACGTAGCCTCAGAGCTGAGTAGGGAAGGATTCTTAAAATTCCTATTTTTCAGCCTGAGGTTCGATGGCTTATCCAGGGAAGGATCCAATGGGTCATACCCCTAGTCCACTGCTCTCTCTATGCCACAATTTCACGCACAAGCTGATATTTGGCACAGTCATCTCAGCATTCAATACATTCAAATTCTAAATGCTCTTTTATTATTTTCCTTCTTACTTCACCCTGTCTTCAGCAATATTTCACATTAACAGGGAAGGCTATTTCACAGCTTTCCCTGTTAGGATTCTACTGACCTTTTCTATTAGGTCAAACCAATTTTAAAAAACCAGTTTGGTTGCCACATTTGGCCCCAGAAACAATTTTGAAAACAGAATCCTCAAAACTGGGCCTTGTCATACTGGCCATCTTCAGAAAGTATATCCCCACATGTGTATCACTCAACCGGGACTTCATTATTGTACCGAATGCACTGGACCAGGGCACTCTAAGAGCAGTGATTACTCACTAATAGCATCAAGATTTAACATATAAATACCAAAAAGGCAGTTTTAACAAATGGGCGTGACACTGAGGTATAAACTTCCAGACTTTAGCAGTGAAAACTGATTTGCACTCATGGAAGGGTCTCAAAGTGAAGTGAGCAACAGAGAAAATTACCCCGAAATTTCAGTCAAACGCATCCAAAGGCTCTCCACCTGAGTGCGTCCGGAGAAGGGGTGACACGGGAAGAACCTGCATTTCACTACGCTCTCTGTTGAACCAGCCTCCAGTGTTTGGCAGTAGTTTCCGCTGGAAACATGGGCTTTCGTCCCTCCTGTTCCCTCTCCTTCCCCATTACCTGGTAAATTACGACACAACTCCCCGCCCTCGCCCCAGGTCAGAAGTGGGTAATGGATCCTTATCAACCCACTAGACCTTGGTCTAGGGCCAAACAGATTTGGCAACTGCCTGGTAAAACTGCCTTGTCAACGTGCCCCACGGTCTGCCCGGGCCCTACCCGACATGGGGACCGCGGGGTCGCACGTGCCGCGCCCTGGGGATGCCTGTTACTACCGCTGCTCTGAGCAGCATCCAGGCGGAGACGCAGGGCACGCGCCCCACGGCCTCTCCGAGAAAGGCGCTGCTCCTGGGCCTCGGATGAGAACAGGGGGAGAAGCCGCCCCAGACTTCGCCCACACCCTTCATTAACAAACGGGAAAGAAAAAAAAAAAGGTTTCATTTACCGATATGAGTGGTCACGGTGGTCAGTCGTCGGGTGAGCTCTTGGGGGGCCATTTCTTCTTTTAACCAAAACAGCATTTCACACACCAAAAAATCAATACATAAACAAAACAGAGCAGCACAAAACTGTTTCTACCGCTGCTCCGGGTAGTTTTCTAGGGGCATCTCCTCTGTAGGATGTTCCCAGCTCTGCGCTCCCTCCCTCTCTTCCGAGACGAACCGGGTCGCTGTCAGCCAAGGCCAACTCTCCCGGGCCACGGGGCCAGACGCTGCCAGCCACCCCGTCTGGGGGATTATTTTAAAGATTAAGTCCAGCAGCTTTCCCAACGTGACGTCTGGTTTTGAGAGACTGGAGAATGGCAGCTCCGTGGGTGAGAAAATCAAGTCGCCCCAGTCTCGCTATAACTGCGCATCAGGGCTTTCCTGGCCGAGGGAGCGTCGGGGTTTCTGGATCAGCAGCCCTGAGTCGTAGGGTCTCCGGCGCGGCCTTGCAGGAGGGTTGGGATGGAGGATGCTTGGTTCGCTGGCAGGGGAAGCGCGGAACCTGCGAGTGCGTGCGGAGAGTGGAGGAGCAGAGGCGGCAGGAGGACCTGCTGCTCTGCACCGCCCACTCCGCCACCCGCATGGCTCTCCAGCTTCCTGCCTTGGTGCCCACCTATCCCCGCCCCTGGGCGACGCTGGGGACTGTGGGGGAGGTGCGCACACGCCTCAGCACCGCCTGTTTACGCACGAGGTAGATGCGACCCCTCCCTAGCGGGCAACTCACGCTCTCGCTCCTGGGAGACTCGGAGTGGAGAGAGTTGGCCAGCACCGGGGTTCTGAACGCCGGAGGTGAGAAGGGGGCTAACTGGCAGAGGGGGAGCCATCCCGCCAGGATGCGGGAAGGAGGGCTGGGTGACGGCCTGCTGCGGGTTCCCGTATTCTGACTGGAGCTGAGAGGCGGTTGCGGAGGGGTGGGGGCAGTTGGAGTCCCCGCCCTCTTCTTTAGGGGTTGTTCCACGCAGTTATCAGAGTCCACTGGACACACCCGCACTTGAGGCCCAGACAGGGCTGGGCACGCATGTGCACACACACACACACACACGTCTCCACCGTGTGGGCCTTTCCCTTTCTGCAGCTACCGCTTGCGCCACTGCTCCATGCGCCAGCTGCCAGGCGCACGGCGCTCCACCCTGGAAAGGTCCTGGCACAGCACCCTTGCCGGCCCCCCTCTGCTCCTCAGTTCCGGGAGCGTCTCTTCCGAGCATCTAATGGGTTGGAGACGCTCTCCCGCGGCTTTCTTAGACGGTTCCAGATACTACTACCTGACAGGAAAGGAAGAGAAAGACTAACTCTGTTCAGCAGAGCTCTGCAGGGGAAAGCCTAAGCAAACGGAAAATCCGGGCAGGTGGTCCCCCAATACCGGACAACAGGGAACCCTGAATATCCGATCGCCAGAGTACTGGGACCACCCACATACACATGTTCTGAACTAATGCCAGGAAGCTCAAGTTTACTCCTCACACGTGTTTAAAAGAAAAAAAAAAAAAAGCCAAACCCCAAATACTCGGGGTCCAATTTCTAATAGGAGCCACTTGCCCCTCATCCCCAGGCTTGGGGGACATTTTTAAATTCTTTCTGTTACAACTGTGGGCTGTGGTTAATGTTATCAACAAGTTTGGGTTCTTATCTCCTGATACAAAAGAATTTAGACCAGGGATGCTGATAAAAGCAAAGGCGGATTATTGGGGCTCTGCAGAGGGCAAGAACACTGAGAGGGGCCTCAGGTTCCGTCCACCGAAGGTGGAGCTTACTATTCCTCGGGAACACAGAAGTTGCCGGGGTGAGCCAGTTAGGAAGTAGGTTAGCAGACTTCTCCTTTTCTGGAACACAGCTATCCGGGTATAGAACTCTGCTGTCCAGGTATATTTAGTGAAGCGAAGCATTCTAGGATTCAGTGCAGCACTTATTATGGGATGCACAAAGGGACGTTCCCAACCAGGTGATCTGTGTCTTGGCTTTAGATCCAAAAAACAAACTTAAAAGAAGAGGGTAGTTCTTGGACCATTGCTTTATAATAACTTATTGATAACTGCATTAGTTCTGGCAGGGCTTGACCTGATGGAGTAATTTGGGGGAACATTTTATTCTACCTGTTCCAGGTAAGAGATGATGTTAGTCCACCTGCACCATGAGGTGTGTGCTGAGGTTTCTCCCTTCTAGGAGGTTTACACACCTTGCATTCTGCCTGCACAAGTAGAACAACCTTTTTGTTTTTAATAGCGTCCTCCTGCAAATTATTCAGAAAGGGGTCAAAGACCCAAAGGAGTAAACAGCTCTGGATTGTGTTTCCATGGTGGTTTCTGACCCTATTCAAGGGTCACAAGTATTCTTGAGGAAACAAAGGAGATGTTTCCTATTGGTAGCAGTCAGAACCCAGGTGCCCAGTCAGAGCCCATTGTAAGTTTGGGTCACTAGGAACCAGCACATTGCTAAAGAGACTGATGATATGGCACATTCTGGACTTTGCAGATCCTCAGCTTCCTGGATTCAGCCATGCCCTTAAGGGTGAGAATCATGAAAAGAAGGGAGTGGGGAAATGAAGAGAGTCAGAGGAAGTAGGAGAAGCTTATGAATAGGAATGAAAGAAAAAAGAGATAGAAAGGAAATAAATCACTCTCAGTGCTGCTGTTCTTTCCCACATCTGTACCTTCACAGTCTTCAAAGGTTTCCATGGAGACGAATTGGCTGCATTTACGGCAAGATGTAGCAGGCAGTGCCTGTCTGCAGAAATCAATTCTGTCCCTGAATCACTAACACATGTTCTCCCAGGGCCTGGACTGCTTTGCCTGGGTCATGGGGGAAGGGGTTGTCTCCGATCTCCCAGTCCCATTTCCAGTTCTGAGATCCTGTAAGTGTAAAAAGAAATGAGCACATAGTTTTCAATAGTTCCTGACTTGTTCCTCCGAGTCATTCTCTCCATTGCTCTTACAAATGGGGACATGCTTCTGGTCTTCTCTTCTTCCTCACCCTAATGCCTTCTGTGCTTCCTTTTCTCCTTCCTAATTATGATCTGTTTCCTTGCTCTAAAATATGGCAAAATTAAGGCACAAGCCAAAATAGCCTGCCTCCCTCTCCAATTAATTAATTAAAAGTCACATCGATCGATTACAGATGCCCAGAGTTGTGGTAGACCGTGTCAAGTACAGCAACTACCACAACCATATAGTAAGTGGCTGCTCTGTGCCTGGTATAATGGTATTTCACGAACATCATTTAAGCTTCGCAATAACCCTGTAAGGGGTTTAGTCTAATTTCACAGATGCTGCTGGCACAAGGACATATTACTAATCTTACGAATCTAGACCATTCTCTTCTTCCAGGTAAGGATTTGCCTGAGCCGGCAAAGAGGAACCATCCTCCAAACCCTGCCAAGGTGATTCCATCTCCCTGTTGGTGGACTATGAGCACTGCCTCTGACGATGAAGAGAAAGACAAAGGACCAACCTTGTGTGCCTCCGATGAGGGTGAGGAATGCCTGGGGCGCCACTGGGGCCACCTAGTTCGGTCCAGATCAGTGGCTCTCAAACTAGTGAATCATTTTCCAGGAGATTTTTTAAAAATACAGATTCCGGGTTCCACCTCCAGAGATTTTGATCCCTGTGTGGGAAGGGCCCTGAAAATGTGCATTTCTCACAAGTCCCAGGAATACTGATACCACACTTTGGGACCACACTTTGGACACCACAAACTTCTTAAACTGAAAATCACAATGTAATCTAAGTTTTACATCATGAAACAGCAGACACACAGACACATAATTGAAAAATTGTATGGATAATTTTTTCTCACTACATGTGAAGCCCTAAACTACTTTCTATTCTATTTCATTTTTTCAAAACGATGGTCCAAATTGACTTGCATTTGGAAAGTGTGGTGTTATAGTTATGTAAGAAAACACCCTCGTTCTCCTGGAAGTGTGTGAGTCTACTGAAGTCTCAAGAGATGACATGTCACTGTCTGTACTTTCAACTGCCAAAGAGAATAATGAAGTAAATACTTAAAACATTAATAATTGTTAAATCGTGGTCATGTATGGGTTATTTTACTATTCTCTCTACTTTTGTCCATGTTTAAAATTCTTCACACTTTGAAAAGGTTTTTAGAATGGTTGTTTGGACCTACTGAACTGGTGGGGTGACGGAAAGGGTGACGGAGAAGGTGGCAGGAAATAGAGGATCAAGTGGGTAGAGCAGCACGGCAGCAGGCGGCCGGGCTCCCCACAAATCCCTCAAGATAAAACCTCTTTAGGGCCCCTTTCTACACACCTCACTCTGCCTTCACTGTATCTTCCACCTTGGCCTTGGGCTACCATACATATTGTACCTTATTCACCTCTATAAATACCTATTCGTCTCCGAACCCCACAGCTCCCAGACAAAGCCCAGAATGAGAGAACGTCCCTTAGCAAAAACCTCTCATTTTACGGAGGCTTGGACCTCCCTCAACATTATGAGGGTACTTCTTCCTCCAGTGCCAGCTGGTAGGATAAGCCTCTCTGAGTTGTGAGCTCATTTGGTTTAATATGCAGACCAGACCGTGATCTTTGACTAACAGGGTCACACCACTGCCCCCCTACTGCACAAATGTCTGGATAGGTGAACCCAAGAAGTGAAGTCACCTGAGCTCACACCGCTCTGACAGTCATTCCGCTGTCATCTTCTGTCTCCTGAAACCAGCCTGAATTGCCTGTTGGCAAAGATCTGTTGACTATATTTGTGTAGGTCTATATCTGGGCACTTTATTTTGTTCACTTGATCTTTTTTGTCTATTCTTTCACCAGTCTCATGCTGTCTTGATTACTGTTTAAGAATTTCTATAGCCAGGGTGTATGTGTATGATATTTGTATGTTTTATTAGATTTTATCAGTGTTATATTCACTTCATAAACAGAATTTGGAAGGTTTCCTTCTTTTTCTATGCTCAGGACAGACCAATAGCAATAGACTCAGGTGTTCTTTAAAGTTGCTCAGTAGAATTGTTCTGTGAAATAACACAGGCGTGGCACCTTTATGCGTGGGTGTGGGAAAAGGCAGTTCTCTATCGCCATCTGTATCTTCTATGATAACTGACTGATCTTAGAATTTCTACCTTTGGGGGATATTTTGATAATTTATATTTTCTTGTAATTTCATCCAGGTTTTCAAAAGTCATTTCATGGAGTTGAGTAAAGTAATTCCATTCAATTCTATTAATTATTTCTATGCCTGTTATTTCCCCTTATCACTTTATATTTTGATTGTGCTTCCTGTCTTTCTTAAAAGTTAGACAACCATCCTATTATTTTTTCTTTTAAATCTTATATTTATTAGTATTCATATCTATTTTTCAATTGATTGACTTCTTCTTTTATCCTAACTCCTTTCTTTTGCTTTCCATAGGATGACTTTGTTCATTGCTTTCTTACTTAGAAATTAGAGGTTTCTACTTGGATGGATATTTCATTTACTTTGCATTTTCTTTTCAGCACTGATTTTGAGTATCCCACAGAAACTAAGATGCAGTGCTTTACCTATTTTTATTTTTAAAATAAAAAATAAAAGAAGGTGTGGGACCTCCTGTTTCCAGTTGGCAAAAAAAGCTTGGAAGTCACCACTCCATTCTAATAAGAAAAAAGCTGAAAACTGAAGAATCAATAACTCTACTTAGCTTCATAAGAGACATTAAGGTCACAGGGCAAACCACTGCCCCCAAGTTAGAGAGGATGACAGGCAAATACAGAGAATCACAATTTACAAAAGCCCATATGCAGTACTCTCTGCAGGAACCAGTGCTGGGATAGCGAAACCTGACCTGTAATTGATGGATTGATAGAAGCTCAGTGTGGAAAAATCAAAGAAAAACTGCAGG